GCAAACATCGGCGAGACCTTCCTGTTGCATGCCGGTTGTGCTTTCTGCCGATCCATCTTGATATTTCAGTATATAACTCCCTTTGATCATCAACACCTCCTCCTTTACCTCCTCCTCATGCTGCAAACAGACCTTCGCATTAGGAGGATAGGCAGTAAGTCAGTTGACCTTCCACACCACACCTCACCTCACCTCATCCATTCGTGAGAGTAACTTAGTGTAGAACTGCACAAACGTCTCCAACGTCTCGACATTCCCTTCACGATAGCACAGACAACACACTGGTGCTTCACAATCCCTCTGCATGGCAAACAAATTCGAAGTTCCCACCACTATTCGGCAGTCCAAAGTGCTTCTCGACTTTAATACGTAGGGACGACACGTCCTTCCTTTCCACAAAGGAAATGGACGAATTTCACTGAAACTGACACCGATACTCGAGGAGGCTGAACTCGTTGAAGCACTGCGGCTGCTGGCCGAGGCAACGACAACAACAGCGACAGCCACGACAACATCATCAACAACTACTTTTTATCTCGTGTGTTTGAAACTCTAGGTTGCCATACTGGGACTGCCACTGACACAAATCAATTGACCAATCAGGATTTGCCTCACCTCTCCACTATTCACAGTTGACTGTTTGAAGGAAACGCATGAATGATGCCGTATCTGGACGATTGTAGCTCTTCATTGAACCACCATATTGAACTTGATGAATCACTGCGACTGCTATCTGAAGCAACAACAGAAGCACGGCGGTCCGCGTCGTCTGTGTCACATTGGAGATCGCCATACTGGAAATGCCACTGTCATTACAACCTAACAACTAAGTTCGACTTACCTCACACTTCCACGATTTACATTTCATTATTTGAAGGAAGTCCCTGAAAGGTGTTGCAGCAGGATGATTGCGATCGTATTCTACAAAGCCACCTCACAGTGATGAATCAGTTGAGTTTTCCCCCTTCACCAGCAGGTAGTGCAGTCCGCATACCTGACACCGAGGTGTGGATTTGCAAAGGGAAGCACAGCCCTGTTTCAACAACACTTCGCCCAGAACAAACGATCCCACGGGTTTCACTGAAAAGACGGTGAGAAGAAAGTGGATTCAAGCCACAGCCACTTTTGCTTGTTCACACGACACCGCTGCAAGTCTACGTCACCTCTCCATCTTCCTCCCATTCGTTAATCAACAAGAGCGGCTGGAGGCTTGGCGAACCGCCATTGTAGTAATGGGGCGGGGGGGACGAGTTAGCCCCTCCCTGTGTCCCCTTAGAAAGGACAAACCTCCTCGTGAGTGATGTGAAGTCCCCAACTGTAGGGATCTGAGACAAAAAAATTTAAGACGAGAATCACATCTGCGGACCCCGACAAACGTATCCACACTCAAATCAGGCCGCAGTTTGTGTAGACAAGGTGATGTCTGACTCAGAAGTACGCTTTGAGGTGTGTAGTGAGGGGTAGAGCTTGAAAGGTGTATGTGATTGGCATATCAGGTTAATTTTATAATGCAAGTTAATCCATCATTCTGTCACACAGCAAGCAGACAATGAAAGAAAGCGCAGTGCCATGTTATGAAACTAGTGGCACCCTCCACGCTCCTCGCTAACTTGATCTCACTGGATCCCACTTGATGCATCACCTATTTCATCGCTCGCGTCAACCATTGCATAACCGCTAGATGTTCTCCACCCCTTACCCCCTTTGATCGTCCATTCAATTTCCCCTTCCGCTCTGCATGATGAAGAATAGGGCGTCTTCTTCTATGTAATGGATGCAGCCATCTGTCTCTGGCCCCCCATGAGTCATCACCAGGGCCAACATACCCACCTACCTACCCACCCACTCACCTACCCACGTGGGTCTTTCCGTTATGCATGACAGGCTGTTCTGCTGGCGTTGACCGCATACGGTCCAGCGCCTCCTCCCAATGCCATACAAGGCGACGAAGAAGGGGAAGCTTCTCTTGTGGTTTCAGCTACATCTGGACCATCGCGTTGAACTTGCTTCTGGAAGGGGAGAAGATGGAGACACATCCATCAGGTGAAAGCGATATTAGAAGAAAATTGTTGTTGTTGACTTGTATAATTGACAATGGGGTTTTGGACAATAGATGGAGAATAATTATCTTTATTAATTTTTGTCGTGAACTTAAAGACACCGCAAATGATGATTAAATATAGTCCACAATCAATCCCGTCAGGTTTTCAAGTACATCCACTCACACAATAATCATGTAGGTCACAGCCACCGGGCAGGGAGGAGGTGTGGCAGTAGGATTGAAGGCAAGGTCTTTGACTTTTCTACCTCCTACGTCGAGACCCTCATAAGGTCTATATGGTCATGGATGCCCTGGAATGAAGGCAGGGTTGACTTTGTGGTTGGAGGACAGGACCAGAATGAGTGGACGCGACGACGGCTGCGTGACCCATCCAAACATGCGCACCACCACAGCTACGGTGGTAAGCGAAGTCTTCGTTGTAATCGCGTCATCATCGTGGCCTGTGGTGTTGCAGGAAGGGGACGAGAAGGCTTTCTTATTTACCATAACTGCAGGAACTGAGTCAAGCTCTGCAGACGTTGCATTCCACATTCTCGGGAAGGTAGGGGTGTTTTTGTTTCCTCATGGCGTCACTTCGGGTGGCTAGATCAATTCCGTCCTGCAACCACGAAGTTGACACACATCGGGGCCTCGGAGTCGACCGGAATAGCCGTAACTTCTTCCTCGCGTTTGTGACTCACTAGACGGAGAGGAACATGGTAGTCCACGCTAAGGGGGTGATGCCCATCCCCTCGAGTTGACTTTGCCTCCCCATTCGACCATCATCTTTCTCGCCACCTGATGGCAGTAGTTTGTTCCAAGTGGGGCAGTTCATTTGTAGTCTTCTCAACCAACCTCTAAACAATAGAATGTGAAGACCCGTATAATTAAACCTCCGCTGCCGCATTCTGAGGGATATTTCCGATCTCCTACTGGTGGATCATACAAGCCCCTGAGATTTGGATGCCTTACTGGAACGCATAGGACCTCCGCAAAGTGTCTCTCTTCACCAGGTTAGGTAATTTCAATCCAAAGGATGAAACCAATAAGAGTGGAATGGATGGATGGATGGATAAATGGATATAGAGGAGGATAGGGGGCTTATAAATGCCAATCCTTAGTACAATGGCCAATACAGGCGTGAGCAACAGCCGGAAGCACTGGAGATGACGGTCAAAGTAGAAGGAAGACATTTTGTGGCATGGTGCTCCATCCCTTCATCCCTTTTCATAATGTGAGCAGCGTTGATACCTCCTGCGTCCTACTCGTCTTCTGACAGCTATTCCATCCTGTCATTCCCATTTGCCACAATTGCGACCTCATTTCCTCCAATATCGCTTGCACTTGATGCATGTGCCTCCATCTTCTCCGCTTTGCAAAGCAAGTTCCACCGAATCACCCAGATGCAGTTGAAACTGAAACAGAAGCTCCTTCTCACATATCGCCTTGTAGGGCATTTGGAGAAGAGGTGCTGTGCAGTAATCCGGTCAATGCTAGCAGAACAGCCTATCACACAGAACGGAATGACCCAAGTGGGTAGGTCAGTGAGCGGGTGGTGGTCACTTGTGGGGAGACAAAGACAGATGGCCGCATCCATCATATGGACAAAGGCACTACGGAGAATTGATGAAGGGATAACCGTCCTTCACTACCGACTGATTCATTAAGCTTTGGCGACACCACGGTTGACGGAGGTGATAAGTCGGATGGTTTACAGCTCGTGCCCCAAGTGCGATAAGGTGGAATCAAGGTGGAAGGAGGGGAGTGGCGGTGTGATAGTGTGGTGTCAGGTAAGCACTCGGGTAAATGGAAGTACTCTTCACACATCATCCACCTACTCGTCACTTCTTTCACGTGCCTTCACAACATCGCACCGTGCATTCAAGATTGTCTGTTGGCCGACTAACTGCAGACTCGAATGCTCACAGTGGATTGTCTCCTCCCTAAAGGCCAACCAATCTACTCACTGCGCTACAGTTGCCAACAACGAATTCTTCACGAGAAACAGTCAAGACTAATGAGCTAGTTGGAAGAAAGTTTAGGTCTTTCAAGGCACCACTGCAAGAATTAGCCTTGGAACTATCTACGCTTGAGGAGGAGAGGGATGGAGGCCGAAGCTTCCCTAATGCTATTTCGCCAGGTGATGTTCATCATCTTTTCTTTGCTTTAACATCCGTCAATCACGTGGTCACGTGTGAGGCAAATTGGACAGTTTGGCAGCTGTCTGCCTCCTTTCTTAGTCAGCAACCCGTCATTTTTCCTGGAGTGCTTTACGAAACACCCCCCCCCACCCCACCCCCTTATTTTTGCTACGCATTTCCAATTTAGCCAATGAGATGTAGATTCTGTGCATTTTATAAGACTTGTCACAAAATTTGACAAATACTTTATCAATCTCAGAGTAAAAGATTTCCTGGGTTTCCCTCACCTCGGGTAAACAGGGCACCATTGAAAGTAGACTGAATCACAGTCGATCTGGTGAAAAGCGGGCGAAATCAAGGGGGTAAATCAAATCAATTGCGGAGCTTTAAGATAAATTTCGGAGTTTCTTTTTTTATTAATAGATTTGTACCTTTAATAATAACATTCACATTAATTTAAGGATGGGCTTTTGAGAGTTTAAAGTGCCTTCGAGAGGCTCAAGGTACTTTTGCGTATCGGACAGGTGAATCAAAGGAACCTTTTACTTTGTGCTCCTTTTCACTGAGCCATGCAAATTCAAGTGTTCTTGATGTACTACTTAAAATATATAAGCGAGGAAATTAGATGGATGCAGGATGGATACGGGACGGTTGGACGGGTACGGAATAGATGGCTGGATACGGGATGGAAGAATGGATGCAGTATGGATACTTAGGTGATGGGTGGATTGATACGAGGTGGATAGGAGGTTACAGGATGGGTAGATGGATACGAGATAGATGGATGGGTACGAGATGGATGGATGGATATGGGACAGAAGGATACGTGATAGGTAGAGACGAGATGGAAAGATACGGAATGGATGGATAGATGAGTGGATAAGAGTTCGATGCGTGCGGGATAGATTGATAAGGAATGGATGGATGTGTGACACGGAGAAGTGAGAGCAAAAAAATTTAAACACCGAGGTATATTAAGGCATTGGAAGGAAAGTCCGACTCTGGCAAGTAAAAACAAGACACTCCTTCCTACCTCACATGGCAAAAACTTATTTATCTTCCTCCTCCACTCACCTCTTTTAACAATTCTTCAAGCCTCTGGTTGTCATCTTCACCTCCGACCCTCACTGGTGTTCGTCCATCACACCACCACCTGACAAACAAAGCAGGCAATTTGAAAGTAAAAATGGAATAGGAAGGGCAGAGATGGTACCTGAAATTGAGCTGTTAGATTCCAAAGGCAAAACTTTCTTAAAGTTGCGATCCCCAGCAAGCTTGAAGCACCTTTGACAGGGAATTCCAAGTTGTAACTTTGTTAATTCCTGGATTTTTCCCATTATCTCGTCTTTCCCAACTACACCCCGTGGATTTCTTTTAAACCTCCCCAATTACCGTATTCTGTGTGGGTTTTCCACAAGGCTACGCTGAAAGTAAGGGCTAAGAGGCGATGTTTACAATGGCATCCAGTCTAACCACATCCTGCAATCCAAGGCGTGTCATGTGATTCACGCCTAATCGGTGGCGGTTGGTAAGGCGGCTTCTACTAACTAGACACGGTGCAATGAAAAAGAGGAAGAACAAACAGGTAGAATTTTGTTAATTTTGCCTCCAAGGAAAGTACACAGGATCTTCACTCTTGCTCCGTGAATTCCGCATTAGCCTTCCACCCGTGTGTAGAGCTGACCGGGGCTTCTGGTATGCCCTGACACGACGTGTGAAGGAATGCCTCCTGGCTTTACCAAGGGAAAGGGATATACTGACACCGCCTCATGATCTCGCACACACAAGAAATGCGAAGAAGGGATCCAGCCATGGCACTAAACCCTTTCAGCAGCAGTTGGAAATGATGTACTGAGTGTAGTCTCCCTAGCCTTCCCCTAACACTCTTTAGCCCTCAAAATCCACCACATCTAGAGAGCTTTTCACTATCCCCGTCCCTATTCAATTTCATCCTTAAATTTTTTTAGGTAATTAATTTAATGCCATCCAGGTACCCGGTGGATGTACTCACGCCTTCATGCCACTTGATACAATTGTTTGTGTAGCCAATGGGAGCCATGCATTCGGGGCTAACCCAGATTTTGCAAGCTGGAACAACCACAGGAAAAGAGAACGTTATGCCCCTTAAAATTGCCAGAATCTAGAAGGAAATTAAAGCGGATTTCCTTTTTACCCGAGTAAAAATCTGAGAAGCAGTTGGTTACAAAAGTCGAAAATGACAAGAAACGACGACGACCTCGGAAAGATGGCTTGAAATACGTTGTACTCTGGCAGCACAATAGGGTTTAGCAACAAAAGAAGGGCAGAGAAGAGTTATTCCTAGAGTATGGAAGGACTTTGCTACTGTGACGTGGATGGGTGGTCGAGCCATCGAGATGGCGACCAAGCCACGGTGAATAAAGAGGCGTCGTGGTCAATGAGCTTCTAGATTGTCAACCTTTGTTCAGGTACAACAAATGCATTGCCCGAGGACATTATAAGTTGATAATATCTCCGAACCCATTCCTATCCCGTGAAGACAAGAAAAGGCTACAATAATAGATGGCTGCATTGTCATATGCCATCTTATAGTCACCGGGTCCTCATTGTCTTCTCGGAGGAATTCAAGGGACCACTTGCAGTGCTTAAGGCGCTGTCGAAAGGAGACAATGTTCCTGTTTTACTCAACCGAGAGATAGACTACTCTGCGTTCTGTGGAGCGTAATGAATCTCGTCTAGTCCATCACAGTATATCGGTTCTGTGGGGCAGAGGCACAATTGTCCAGATACGTCATCATTCATGCGTTTCCTTCAAACAGTCAACTGTGAATAGTGGAGAGGTGAGGCAAATCCTGATTGGTCAATTGATTTGTGTCAGTGGCAGTCCCAGTATGGCAGCCTGGAGTTTCACACACACGAGATTAAAAGTAGTTGTTGATGATGCTGTTGTTGCCGTTGCCTCGGACAGCAGCCGCAGTGCTTCAACGAGTTTAGCCACCTTGAGCGTTGGTGTCAATTTCAGTGAGATCCACCCATTTCCTTTGTGTTAGAGAAGGACGTGTCGTCTCCACGAAGTAAAGCAGAGAAGAATTTTGGACTGCCGAATGGTGGTGGGAACTTCGAATTTGTTTGCCAAGTGTGTTGTCTGTGCTATCGTGAAGGGGATGTCGAGACGTTAGAGACGTTCGTGTAGTTCTACACGAAGCTACTCTCACGAATGGATGAGGTGAGGTGAGGTGTGGTGTGGAAGGTCAACTGACTTACTGCCTATCCTCCTAATGCGAAGGTCTGTTTGCAGCATGAGGAGGAGGCGGAGGAGGAGCTGTTGATGATCAAAGGGGGTTCTATACTGAAACTTCAAGATGGATCGGCAGGAAGCACAACCGGGA